GCTTGGACGATCACCCATCCCTTGTGGTTGTGCTCCCAAAAGTTCGCTCGTCCCCTGGCAATACGTTGGGAAAGAAGCTCATTAAGGAGGCCGCGGATGCTGAAGCAGCAAAGAAACCCTGAGCTCCAGTCAAGGAGGCGGGGCTGGATGCAGAGGTCGAGAAGGAGAAGCAAGATGTGGAAAAGGGTTTGAAAAGGGCCGCAACTAACCGGATGATGATGATGATGATGCTGATCACGACGGCGTCGTAAATCCCTGAACAACGGAACGAGCGCCTCGAGCAGCAGGCCAGGGGGCGAGAGATGGAAAAGCAGAAGGGTCATCAAAGGAAAGGCAAGAAGGGTCATCAAAAGAAGTGGCAAGTCCAGCAGCATCTCGAGCTCCAGTAAGGAGTCGAGTTCGGGGAGTTGCGGCGGATCGATCGAAAGAAGCCCCGGCGGTTGGCTCAGAAGCCCTTGGGCGAGATGTCCCGGTATCTGGCCGGAAGGCGTGAGAAGGAGAAGCAAGCGCCAGGAGGGTTCACTTCAAAAAAAAGACCGCGAGAAAGAGGAAGGATGGAACTGCCTGATCGAGGAGGAGATCAACAAAGCCCAGGATGCAGTCAAGCAGAGGCCAGAGGCCGAAGGAGGAGGAAAGAACGAAGATCAAGGTCGAGCCGGCCAGAAAAAAGGGAAAGGCAAGGGCAAGGGCTGCCTTTTTGGAGGACTTCGAGGAATTGGTCGGCAGGGCCGAAAAGAAAAAACAATCGGGTGACGGAGGTTTTTCGTAAGGATTATCCTGGAGGTTACAGTGCTGCCCAAATTGCAAGACATGTTGCAATACAAGTTTTTCAGAGAAATGGTGTTTTGGGACATTCAGCTCTCACAGGAGAGCAAGGGACCGCAGCGAGATCTCTTGCTTCTTCCTCAATGATTCAGCTCAGTCAGTACAGTTGGTTCCCCGGATCCAGGTACAGCCTACAAGCCACAAAAGAATTATATAAACATAATAAATACAAACATAAGACTGGAAAATACAAATTCACCAGTTGTATTTTTAAACGTACACTTTTGATTTTTGTATTTTTCAGAAATACAACCCTAACAAAAATGCAAAACTGCCAGCAATATTCATGTAAATTGCCAATTGATACGCATTGATATGGGTGGAATGGGAAGCTGGCCCCCTTGTATTTTGGAGCAGCCTCTCGGGGTTGTCGGGTAGCCTGACCACGTTTCGCTGGTTCTCGTGGTTTTTGCCGGTTCGCAGTTCGAGGCTGAAAATTTGCATTTTTTGAAGATACGGAAAATACGACGTTTTTTTGGGGGGGTATTTTCCAAAAAAACGAATAGATACGAAAACAAAATTGTGTTTTAAAAAATACAAAATACGACATATTTTTGTATCTGTCAAAAATACAAAAATACAAAAAGTACGAAAAATACAAAATACAAAATAAATACAGAAATACAAAATATAAAATACAAACAATTGGACAAATACAAAAGTACGACCCGCGAAGAAAATACAAAAAAGTACGACCCGGGAACAAAACACTCAAACATACAAAAAGATGCGACCTGCAAAAAAAACCAAACAATATAAAATTTGCCGAAACGGGTTGCGAAACCAAATTTTGTAATGTTTTTCGTTTTTCTGACGTGTCGACGAGGGTGTTTGCTGATTTTGCGGCCCGACTGCCTTTGTTTCTATTTTGCCACAACGCAAAAAGAGAGCAAATTCACGCAAATGCTTCTTGACAACGCATTCAAAAAACAACGCGACTCAAAATTCAATTGGCTTGGTGGGGGCTATTTGCGTTGTGGCCCTCATTTGAGTATGATATTTGGGAACCAGGGCCAGTTAGGACGTAGAACCATGCAAAAAGGTTGCATTTCAGGGTTGTATTTTTTAAATACTTTTCTTTTAATGTTTTTGGGTTTCTTAGCCTCTACTTCGAAGGAGGGGATTCAACAGTACAGGTTCTTCAGCTGGAGTCGATGACGGAAAGCCATGAAGCGGGGGCGGGAGCGAGAGCCGACAAGCGCGGATGAGAAAGGCCCAAAAGGCACGCGCAGGGTGAGTGAGCCTGATTAGGAGACTCCGCATTTTGTATATAGCGAAACAAACCATACCCGATAACACTGGAACAGGTGCTACATGGATTGCCAAGTCCAGCCCATGGTGGCATGGTGAACCGCGTCGACGTGCTACCGCCCCCTCTGGGGAAACTGTACAGGCTTCCCAAGTCGAGTCTGACGTCAGACCCTCTGAACTTTTGCCGTTTCACGAAAGCTGACGCTAGATGAGCGCTCAGCTTCTTTTCCTCTTCCATGAGCTGCTCCTCCGTCACGTAGAATGGCATGTTGTCGCCCAATGCTTTGAGCAGCTCTTCACCAGCCAACATCTCCACTGAGCTCTCTTTGTCATCCTTTCGTTCACTACTGGACTTTGGGGCACGCTCTTCAGCGTCCACTTCTTCCAGTTCTTGCTCCTCTTCAATCTTCACCTGCAGAAACCTCTGCTTGGGCTTATATGATCACTCTGCGAGTTTATAGCCGGCCCTCGAATTTTCTTGAGCTCCATTGCTCCTGATCCACTATTCACCTGGAACGAGTTGCCAATGGCACATCGCAATTCTTCAACATAGCCTCAAAGGCCTGTACTTCTGGGCATAGTTGTAAGGATGATATCTATATATTGTCATATTTTCCAAAAGTTCTTGGCCTTCAAGGTTGCGGCCTTGACCTCTTGATTGCCAGGTCATCTGTCGCTTCTCCTGGCCACTCACATTACGGGCTCTGCCTCCACTCCTTTGATCTCCAACTTGTCAAACAGCTCATGGGACTTCCATTGAACATATTTAAGGGCCTTGACAGCCTATACAGTCGGAGTCTCTTCACTCGACTCAAGCAACCACTCTCCACCATCGCTGTCCTCGTCTTTAAGGCGTTTGACATCTCCTCAATATCCTCCAGGTCCACGACCACGTTCCCAAGCAGCTTCAATGTCTACAACTTCCTCTCTGCTGCTCCCTTTTCGACCAACTTGAAGACGCGGACGGCCTCAAAGAAAAGCTGGCTGCGCCCGGGCGCTCAACTTCAACAACCGACTCAGGCCCTGGCACTGCCTCCGCCACATATGACGCCGGTAGCATCTGGGGACAATCCTACAAGCAAGGCTTCCTCCAATTCCTTTTCATCAAAGCTTCTGATGTCCGCAATGAACCTCGTTCCCGGACATTTCCCCCGCAGAACTTCCACAGTCTTTGTCCAAGGGCTTCCCATGGCGACATCCTTTGAGAGCTTCAGCATCCAGCCCTGCAACTCGCAATGCAACCCATTCAAGCCAATGTCATGTTCACATACTGGCTTCCCCAACGTCACGTAGGCTGGCCAACTGTCCGGGAATTAAGCAAGTATATAACTAAGTAGAAAGCTCACGTCAAATCATCGCGCAATCTTACTCATCCCCACTTCTAAAAAGGCGCCAAGTTCAAATTCTTGCCATTGGAGAGAGTAGAGCCCACTTGCTGACGAAAGGGAGGTGGTCGTTAGCCGCAGGCCCTGATCCAAATCACCCCACCCCAACCCGCCCAGTGACCCGTTTGTCGAGCAGTTCAATTTTTTTTCGTTTCTCTGCTCACTGAGACATGATGTGGCGCGTGGAAGGAGGCCATATGAGCTTGGAGAAATCTTTTGCTGACGTGATGTTGGCAAACAAAAATATGGTCGGACTTGTAGCCTTTCAGTCATAGGGCACGGCTGATTGACGAAAAAAGCATCCTGGTGTGTATTTTCACTATGAAATCAAGAGGGCGTGTTGCAGATTTATAGAAATAAGCCTCCCAGAAAGTGATTACTATAAATTCACAAGCATAGATTCAGGCATTGACTAGCATGAACTTTTGGAAGAGAGCACAAGAGACTATGAATTGACGTCTATGATTTTATAGCAATCACATTGTTTGTAGAAATTTTGGTTTTGACCGCGCAGACCAAACACCAACATAATTTTATAGAGAGACCTGTGCCTGCGTGCCAGAAAGACTGTAACTTTATAGTGAAATGATTTTATAGCAAACAAACTCATCTTCATCAATGTCTCTGAAATCATAGTACAAATTGATGGAGAAAATATACAACAATGATTAAAGAACAAAGAAATTCATATAAAATTTTTGTTTTTTGATTTCATTTTGTTCTATTGACCACGGACTAATTTCTATAAAAAACAAATATTGGAGGACATCAGATTGTTCTGCTTGTGCACCCTATTTTATACTGTGTTTTTGGGCACCTGTTCAATATCCTTGTCTACCTCCTGGTCCTTAGTAGAGTTGATTCTATAGTGATGTTGCTGTCTGATAGTAAGTCAGGCATTTGAATTTTATAGTGCTAAGCTACCCCAGGCAAACATGCACCCACCGATTTATAGCTATAAATGGGGCGGACAAGTAGCTATGGGAACACACAAGGGGATAAAAAAGCCCTGTTCGGAGCAAGGGTTGGCTGAGTGCATGGACATCCATGCAGTTTCAAATACAAGAACGGTTCTTTCGGCCCACGGCCACACCCTCTGCCCTTCGCGAGTTCCGCACAGTGCGAGTGGCACGAGAAAATAGGTGTTGAAGGATGGCGCAGGAAAACCAGAAAGAGAGAGGTTTGTGGAATGAATGGCGCGCAGGCTTGAAGCAGCTTGAAACTTTGGACACGATAATGCCCTTTTCTTGGTGAAGGAGCTTGCTGCAAGGTTTTGCACAGCCTTTTTGGTCGAGTCCAGGGTATTTTCATATACAGTATTTTCTGTAGTTTCGGCTCATTGGCAAAGGCTTGTCAAGGCCCTGAGATCAAAGAGGATTTTGCCCAATAAAACCATGGCAGTTCGCACCCGCTCGAGCCTGATGGCAACTTTCCTGTGACTTGGCAAGAGATGCATTTGGGACCTCCATTTTAGCGCTTGGCGCTTGACTGCCATCTGGGAGCAACTGAAAGAAATTGATTTGTCCTAGTTCGACCCAGGTTGGCGCTCTCAGCCTGCGTAGCAATCAGGGCCTTCGTGCCGCCAGCCCAGCCAAACGCAGCGCCGGCCCTCCGCGCTTCTGCAGCAGCAGTCCTGGCCGCCTCCACTGCTCTGCCAGCCGGTGCTGCGGATGAGTACCTGAACTACAACATGACAGGCAGGATCCAAGTCGGCGACCAGCCCTGATGGGTTGCAGGAGTCCAATTTTTTGTCACGGTAGTAAATTTGGTTTCCCATACAACTGATGCTGGCCTCACTTGAAGTTTCAACTTAAAATTTAGTCCTTTTGCGCAGTGTGTGACTTGGAGATCAAAGAGCATGTACTTGGAAGGTGAATTCACCCCTTTCATGATCATCGGGTACTTTGGCCTTACCACTTTCCTCACGGCCTTTGCCTTCGGCTCGTACCTCATCCTGACCAAGCTGAAGATCATCTGAGCCAGCCGCCAAATCACCCAGATTTTTCCCAATCTCGCCAGGATATAAAATGTCAAGAGAGGCTGCCAAGCACCGAGCATATTGCAACAGGTGCAGTGTAGTACTAGTCAAATCTGCAAAGGCTCACTCGGGAGAAAGCTTTCAATATAAGGACAAGCAGCTGGCGGACCTTAAAAGAAGTGGGGAACATCCCAAGAAATCGTTCTTGTTTTGAAGAAGCATCCTGAACGTGCTTGTTGCTGATAGGAAGGGCCAGTGCAGGCGACCGGAATCCTTAATGGCTTAACGGTGTTCTAGTTGCTCGAGTTCTCAGTAAGGGGCAGTCATGTCTAAAACCGCACGCGCATTGGCTCCAAGCCCAAAGAGGGAAGTAGACAAAGAGCTGAAGAGCTGAAGGGCAATTGCAATGAGCCTCACTCGAGCACGCTCCAACCTGCTGTCGGCGCTGCTGCTGCATGTCTTCAACAGGGAAAGCAGTGTTTTTGAAGGCTGATAAGCCTGATAAGCCAGAAGCGCCTTTTGTTATTGCTACCAATTCCCTTCAAGATTTGTGGTTGTGTTGGGACAATGGGGATGGACATCCAGCCCACAAGAGTCAAAAAGACTAGCAATGGCCTTTCATTGTGTAAGCGGAATGTACTTGTCACATGCAAATGCTAGTAGATATCAAACCATGATTCTTGCCCTGGCCAAGGATTTTGCAAAGTGAAAAGTTGGGATGGCCTTGAATGCTGAATTCGGGGCCTTTCAAGCCTTTCAAGCGTGGTTTAATAAGGCAGCTTCAGATAGCTTGATTTGTTCTGGTTCGACTCAGGTTGGCGCTCTCAGCCTGCGTAGCAATCAGGGCCTTCGTGCCGCCAGCCCAGCCAAACGCAGCGCCGGCCCTCCGCGCTTCTGCAGCAGCAGTCCTGGCCGCCTCCACTGCTCTGCCAGCCGGTGCTGCGGATGAGTACCTGAACTACAACATGACAGGCAGGATCCAAGTCGGCGACCAGCCCTGATGGGTTGCAGGAGTCCAATTTTTTGTCACGGTAGTAAAGTTGGTCTCCCATACAAAGGATGCTGGCCTCACTTGAAGCTTCAACTTAAAATTTAATCCTTGTATGCAGTGTGTGACTTGGAGATTAAAGGGCATGTACTTGGAAGGTGAATTCACCCCTTTCATGATCATCGGGTACTTTGGCCTTACCACTTTCCTCACGGCCTTTGCCTTCGGCTCGTACCTCATCCTGACCAAGCTGAAGATCATTTGATTGGCATATTCTTTAACAATATAGAATTTTTTTTTCCAAATGCAAAAGATGAAATATATATATGTCTATTGAACATATATATATATATATATTGTCATATTATATTGTTATTAATATGGTTATTATTATTATAGATATTATTGTTATTATTTATATTTGTATTTTGTGTTATTATTAAATCTTCGGGTTTTATATGTATTTTATGGCAAATTCGATACGATAAATATAAATATTGAATAAATTAATTTTTTAAAAATAATTAATATTGTTGATTTTTTTTTTTTAATTTGGAGACTTTATTTTTGATATTTATATTTTTATTTATTTATTTATTTATTTAATTTTAAAAATATATATATATTATACGATTTTTATATGATTAGTGGTGCAAATATATGTATTTTAAATGATTTTTTTAGTTCGTTAATCGTTTTGATGCGAGGACGTTAGGAAGAATAGGGTGAGGTTAATGAAAATTTGAACAAAGACACGTTACCGTGTTAGGAGCGAGGACGCTGCATTTTATTCGATCGATAATGAGGATTAGAGGCGGTGAGGCTGGAAAAGGGGGCGGCGCGCCCGAGTGGAAAAATGGGGTCTTTTTGGAGGGGAAGGATTTTCTTTTGAATTGGTGGTTGTGAGTTAGAAATTAATTTTGCATTGGTAGTGGAATTGTCTAGTTTGTTGGGCGGTTCGAACGACTTTTGGGATTTATATGGCGATAGAGATTGTAGCGAATTTAGTAATTGAGGGAATAGGTTTGATGCCCACATCGTTGGTTTTATATAAATAAAATTGAGTTGTTTGTTGAAATGTGATTATTTGGCAAAAATTAGGAATTTATTACTAGAATAATTTTGGCTACTATTGGAATTGTTTTTTAGAAGCTGAACTTCCATGGGGCGGAACTCCTGGGATTTAATGAGGTGAAAAAAATTGATTGCCTTATTCGGGGGGCATTGGGGGAAAATCACTCTGGAGCAAAAGTATGAGAACGTCGAGCGCACCTTTTTTCGTTGTGTTTAATGAGGTGATGAAAGCAATGACTCCTACTTCGCACGCGCGGATGTGTTTTGGTCGGAATTGCTGTCTAAGCATATGGATTTATTACAATTGCAAGCGTATACGTGTTTGCGGGACTCTTTATTAAGCAATGAGGATAAGAAGAGGATATTAGTGGAAATCGATATGCATAACGGAGGGACACTTACAATGTCCCGAGTATTTCAAGCTATCAGGATGATTGGTGTTGGATTCTTTCATGACCTCTTGGGCCAGAAGCGCACAAAAGGGAAAACATATGATGCGACAGCCCTGAATGTCCTTGATGATGTACCGGTCTCAGTTGCCGACGACTTAGCATATACCATGGAGGAGTTTACGGCGGAGGACTTTATTGAGTAGATGTTTTAAGATGATAATGAAGATACAGCACTTGTGGCCGAAAACGAATCCTCAGCAGTGGAAGCCCTCCAGAATGATCCAGACCTGGCGCTGGCCCATTCCACATATCTTGAGGCACGACATCGTCTTTCGGAATGCTTCAAGAACAGAAGGTTTTGGCCGAACAACTTAAAACCAAAAGGAAAAATCAAAGGCTGGGAAAAAGGAAATTCCAAATCCTATGGTGGTGATTACAAGGATGTAGGAAATCGCAAATCGCTACAACAGCGCATCATGGAGAGTAGCTGCAGGCTCTGTAGGAAAAAGGGGCATTGGAAAGCAGAATGTCCCGAACGAACACTCTGCCGCTCCATCCTCAGCAGCCGCACCGACCTTAGTAATCGCAGAAGAACAAATGGATGCCTTGCCGCTGGAATTCCTCAACCTGCCGGAAACTTCTATGGGGACAGGGGAAGTTATTGGATTAGAGCGCCCCAAGACTTTGGAAAATTGTGTTGAAATAAGGACTAGCTTGCATTTTGAGCCTTTGGTTGCATTCGTAAGCACTAGTGAGCCTGAAGCCACCGCCTATGCCTCAACCTTTTCGACCTATGAAACCAAAAGCATCCTAGATACGGGTGCCACAAAAACCGTGATCGGCAGCCATTTTGTCAAAGAGCTGCTTCTGAACCTGAAACCAGTAGTTCGTGAACAGGTGCAGCGATGTCCATGCAAGGTCACCTTTAGGTTTGACAACCATGGCACCTTGGAAAGCCAATATGCCATTATCGTTCCTATAGGACCGTTGTTGCTGAAAATAGCAATAGTACCTGGACAAACGCCGTTCTTGCTATCGAACACGCTGCTTCGTGCAATTGAGGCCGTGGTTGATATAACTAACCACACTGTCACCAACCCCATATTGAAGAAGACCATTCCATTGACCATTAATGAAAGGGGTTTGTATTTAGTTGATCTCAATGATCTGACCTCTCCTGCACACAAGACTGACCAATCATCCGAAACCTTTGTCATTTCGAATAGCAAAAAGGAAGAGTCCCATCATCGGTTGATTCAATCGATGAAATATGTCCTGAGTGGGTTCATATGTCAAATGAACAGGTGCTTTGATCATACGACGGAAGTGCACGTTGATTGTACTAATGATCTTATGAAAACCTTTCTGCGTGATATCCATTTCATGGATGCCGTGCATGATTGTGGGCACAATGCATTGCTGGTACAATCAAAAACGGATGCTCTGCGGAACACATTGGGCTGTGAGCCACTTCCTCAAAATGGAGAATTACATTTGGGCTGCCTGAAGACGTCGAATCACTATGTCTATCTGCCATGCTCTGTATCCGATTATCACACCGAGGTATGCCGTTTTCGGAAACCATCGGCAATCGAATCGAAGAGTCTGGCATGGTCAGGAAAGGACCGGCTTTGGTGCGGATGACCCACCATTTGGTGAATTTGCTGGCCCCTTTACCAACAGCCCTGAACAAGACTACACTCTTATCCAGATTGATGGTAAAACCATACAGCCGAAAGACGCGAAGGATGTGATCAAGGTCTGACAGGTCTATGAGGCCATCCGACATCCGTTGCGTGCTCCATCTCAAATGCACGTCATCGGCATAAATGATGACATGATCGTGAAGCCAGGTGCACGAGTATCGAGCCGCCAAATCTGATAGTACCAAGTGCATGCAGAGCGTCCAGAGGATTGGACCATTTTTTGATCCCTGACGAATCCCTCTTGTGGCTAAAATCTCACTAACTAACTTTTCGAGGGGGATATAATATTTGTGAGGGGAAAAAAATGTATGGATCATGATCTGAAGGTCCTGGGGGAATTGCAACCATCTGATTGCAAGACTCACAGTGTTCCGGCTGACTGAATCGAAGGCTTTGTTCATGTCGAGGGAAACCTGGAGGCCTCCATACATGCCATCAGCTGAATTATCCTTACTGTGCAATTGACAGCTGTCACGGACCTGTCTGCAATGATACGAAACTCGAAGCAAACAACCAACAATACTCCTATTAGGAAGATAGGCATATAACGGTAAGCGACGAAATTTATCGATCATACATTGCAACAATTGAGTGGTGACAAAACTCGAAGCAACTTTGCAGATAGGATGTTGAAGGCAGATTGGTCGAAGAGCCTGTGGCTTCGTGCTTGGTTTCCCCGGTTTGGGGATGAGGTGCAGCCATCCAGCCGTCCAGTCATCTGGAGCTTGGGGGGGTTGACACTCCACCAATAAGCCAAGGCGTGATATGTCGAACTAGCCAACTCAGGAGCCAATACTTTCCACACTATGGCTGGGAGACTCGGTGGCGCCACAACTTTGGCGGCCGGCATGCGACGCAAGGCCTCATACACAGCCGCTTCATCGAATGGCAGGACCTGAAGAGGTGGCAGGTCCGGTTGCTGAAAATCAGGATCATTAAATTGATTCCCAAAATATTGAACAAATTCATCAAGTTCCTGTTGAGGGCTAAGCGGTTGTCCGTGACTATCAAATATGTGAATGCATTGAAGCCGTTGCTTGGGGCAGAGCGTGCGGATTCTTCGAAAGAAGTCGAATGACTGGTGTCGCGTGGACAAATCAGCACCTTCCCGGAGAAAGGCTTTAAGTCTGGTCCGTTTATTGGTCCTGCTGTATTGCCTGATTTGTTTGTGCAGAGTATGGTATCTGGTCAAATTAAACTAATCCTGAAATACGGATTTCATACTACAATCATGCAATGCAAAGCAGTGAGAGATCGAAAAGCAGGATCCAGCGGCGCCTGCCGTCGGACCGACGGAAAACAATTCTTACATATCTGAACAAGATTTCTTTCCAAGGTCAGATTACGATCAATCGATGACAACGAAGGTCCTTGTACTGTGATGACCTGACGTGCCTGAGTCAAGAAATGGGCCCATTCGGTGTGTTCTGGGTCCAGGCCTGACGAAGGCGGAATCGGTTAATACACTCTTGGTGTTTGGAATTGGGAGTTGGGAACCATTTAGACAAGTGCAAATTCAGAGGATAATGTCTCGGGCCTTGATTGCCAAACAAAAAATCAAAGTCGGGATGATGCTTCGGTTGCAGGGTGCGCCAGGAGATCTGCTCCTTTCGCATGAACACAAAACCGGTCCGGGCATTATGGTCACCGTGCACAAAGATAGGATGAAAAAAACGGTGTATGAATAATAATCAAGTTGTGGTCCTGAACAAGTATTTGGAACAGGGCTCAATCCGTCTGGGCGACTTTGGCATACTTGATATCCTGTGTGAAAACATGCTGACCATCAAAATCAAGTGGTGTGTTATAGTCACCTCCTAACAAAAGAAGATTATATGCAGGTGTATGGTTGATGCAATCTCGAAGGTATGTCCAAATTCGTTTGCATTTGTTCAACAATTGCGAAATATTCCCACCTGAATGCCATGCATATTGATACACAACGTATATGTCGTGGGGACGATACAATTGCAATCTAACTTGCATAATCCTGCCGGGTATGTGATGTGCAATCGAAATGGCCTCTCTTGAGATCAGGACGGCACGAACCATTACAAGGACAGAGGCATACTTATCTGCCCCATGCATCACAT